TTACAGTAATAGGCACATGACTGTTACAGTAATAGGCACATGACTGTTACAGTAATAGGTACAAGACTTGTTACAGTAATAGGTACATGACTTGTTACAGTAATAGGTACATGACTTGTTACAGTAATAGGTACATGACTTGTTACAGTAATAGGCACATGACTGTTACAGTAATAGGCACATGACTGTTACAGTAATAGGCACATGACTGTTACAGTAATAGGTACATGACTGTGAAGAATACAAGAAATCATTCTCCTCATTTTCATCTGTTTCCCTGACATTCTGTCGGCAATTCTACCTCTTGTTTTTTTTTATTAAGACTTTGGCTATCTCCCACTGAGGTAGGGCGACCCAAAAAAGAAGAAATACCTTCACCATTACTTGCCACACTACTACTAACAATATAATCCTTTTGCAGATACCCAAGGGCACACAGTCACACACCAGGATCCGCCTGAGCGGCAAGGGACTGAAGCGAGTCAGCTCATACGGCTATGGCGACCACTATGTCCACATGAAGATCAAGGTGCCTACCAGCCTGACGCCGGAGCAGATGGCATTGCTGACGGCGCTGGCTGAGTTGGAGACGGATACACCCGGGACGATAAATGGCATCACTTACACCAAAGATGGTAAGTGCCTTAAGTGAACACTGTAAGTGGACATAATAGTAAGTGTGTATAAAAGTGACTTAAGCGGACATTACAGTGAGTGCCTGGACAAAATTATCACAACACTGAACACTGAAAACTGAGAGGCCACTTTGACACCCAGTTAAAAAATAATCACTAGAGATCCATTTGAGCCTCATTCAGAGTCCCTCTTCAGTAGACAGGTGTCCATATTCATGGAGGCACACACAGTAGTGTATGGCAAGGCTTGCACGTGACCCAGCTGGTGATGGGCAAGGGAATCGTAAAGGAGTGCCAATGCAATAGCAACAGCCTGCTCAAACAGCCAAATAACTGAAAAGCCTGGTCCCTGTCCAGGCTTTTCAGTTGAAATATTGCATTCTTGAAATTGAGCGCATGCCCAGGGCGATGTTGAAAGCGATTGCGTGCCCAGGGCGACGTTGTTGAAAGTGATTGCGTGCCCAGGGCGACGTTGTTGAAAGTGATTGCGTGCCCAGGGCGACGTTGTTGAAAGTGATTGCGTGCCCAGGGTAACATTGTTGAAAGCGATTATATGCCCAGGGTAACATTGTTGAAAGTGATTATATGCCCAGGGTAACATTGTTGAAAGTGATTATATGCCCAGGGTAACATTGTTGAAACATCACATACCCTGCCAGTTTGACTTGAGAAACAATACTAAACCATCTTTAGACAGCACTTAAAAAAAACTGAATATCCACTAGGACTATCTACCTAAGGAAAGCTCTTGATAGTGAACCACAGCATCCTGATTCACTAGGACTATCTACCTAAGGAAAGCTCTTGATAGTGAACCACAGCATCCTGATTCACTAGGACTATCTACCTAAGGAAAGCTCTTGATAGTGAACCACAGCATCCTGATTCACTAGGACTATCTACCTAAGGAAAGCTCTTGATAGTGAACCACAGCATCCTGATTCACTAGGACTATCTACCTAAGGAAAGCTCTTGATAGTGAACCACAGCATCCTGATTCACTAGGATTATCTACCTAAGGAAAGCTCTTGATAGTGAACCACAGCATCCTGATTCATTAGGACTATCTACCTACGGAAATCTCTTGATAGTGAACCACAGCATCCTGATTCACTAGGACTATCTACCTAAGGAAAGCTCTTGATAGTGAACCACAGCATCCTGATTCACTAGGATTATCTACCTAAGGAAAGCTCTTGATAGTGAACCACAGCATCCTGATTCACAAACTCGATCATTATGGTATAAGAGGCCATGCACTTGCATATATCAAATCTTACCTTACTAACAGACAGCAATGTATTTTTATTGAGGACACAGCCTCCTCAGCAAGACTCCTGGACAGTGGCTTACCACAGGGAAGCATTCTTGCCCCCCCCCCTACTTCTCCTTTTATGCATCAATGACTTTCCAAATGTATTCCGAGCAACTGAGACCTGTTTTCTCTGTTGATGACACAACTTTTGTTGTCTCCCACCCAAATCCACCATCACTCAACACTATTGTTAATTAAGAACTCTTAAAAATATCAACCTGGATAACTACTAATAAATTCGCACTTAATTTTAACAAAACCTTGTACATTATATGATGTCCAACTAAACATTATGATTAACAACACTCTTATTTCTTAACATAATGAGGGAAAATTTCTGGGTCTGCAACTTAACAGCAACTTGAAATTCAACACCCACATCCAACACGCAAAAAAAAGTATCCAAAACAGTTGGCATCCTCTCAGAGATACGTTTTTATGTACCACGAACAGCACTACTTACATTATACTGTTCGCTGATTCACCCCCTACCTCATGCTGTTTGTGCCTGGGAACCCACAACAGCATATCACCTCCAGCCAATAATAACTCAAAAAGCCGCAACACGAATGATCACACTACTGCTATACAACACACCCCACACTCTTGAAAGACCTAAATCTACTAACTATACAGAACATTCGCTCTTACTACTGTGCACCCTACATTGACAGAACAATAAATTGTAATATTAATCCTGACCTGAAGCACTTTGATAGTTGCAACAGGATCCATAAACACACAGTACAGTGGACCCCCGGTTAACGAACTTTTTTCATTCCAGTAGTATGTTCAGGTGCCAGTACTGACCGAATTTTTTCCCATAAGGAATATTGTGAAGTAGATTAGTCAATTTCAGACCCCCAAACATACACGTACAAACGCGCTTACATAAATACACTTACATAATTGGTCGCATTTGGAGGTGATCGTTATGCGGGGGTCCACTGTACTAGGAACAAAAAACTCTGATATACCCCATGTCCAGCTAAATCTCTCTAAAAATTCATTGTAAATCTAAATCTACTAACTATACAGAACATTCGCTCTTACTACTGTGCACCCTACATTAACAGAACAATAAATTCTAATATTAATCCTGACCTGAAGCACTTTGATAGTTGCAACAGGATCCATAGACACACAGTACTAGGAACAAAAAACTCTGATATACCCCATGTCCAGCTAAATCTCTCTAAAAATTCATTGTACATAAAAGGGTCCAAAATGTGGAATTCTCTGCTGGAGATCTCCAGAGCCACTGACTCAGCCAACATTTTCAAAACTACCATTACAAAGCATCTCTCCCTAACATATCCCAACATCAGTTAAATATATGACCTCTTGTTTGAGACATGATCACTAAATACCCTCTTGTAGACATGATCACTAAATACCCTCTTGTAGACATGATCACTAAATACCCTCTTGTAGACATGATCACTAAATACCCTCTTGTAGACATGATCACTAAATACCCTCTTGTAGACATGATCACTAAATACCCTCTTGTAGACATGATCACTAAATACCCTCTTGTAGACATGATCACTAAATACCCTCTTGTAGACATGATCACTAAATACCCTCTTGTGTGAGACATGATCACTTTTTGATGACACTTCCTGCTACTAAGAAAAAATGGCTTCAGAAGAGATGTTATGTCTGTGCATACACACAACAAAATGCCCACAAAAGTGCATTTTACGTGAGTGTACAAACACTGCTGGACAGTGAAAGGGTTAAGTTACGTTTTCTCATCAAGAGTGCTGAATGATAACTGACCAGCTGGGCTGTGGGTCCTGTATTGGATTGCATGTATCCAGCATGTAGCCATGACCATGAGGCCTGGTCATGGACTGTGCCAAGGGGGCGTTGACCCTTTTGGAACATCCTCCAGGTGTACTCCACCAGGTAGACTCCAGGTAATACTCTCCACTCGCACTAATTCTTTCCTTGTTGAGATGACTGAAGGCTGATTTGCAGCACTTTGCAGACCCCCCTAAGGCTAAGCCTACACTGAATTAGTTATTCCGTTTGTAACTGAGTACTATAGGTACAGGTACACACAAGTGCAGTCATGCCTTGTTAATACGGCGCTCACTTCAGGGCACTTCGCTAATACGGCTCTTTTCAGTTAGATTCGTGTTTATTATTTTTGGTGCTTGTCTTGCTCTTAAGATGGTTTTTGGCAATTTTCATTTTTTATTTATTTTTACTCTTGCATTATTTATTAACCTTTTTATATGTGCTGGCAAGCAAAAAAAAAAAATGCTCTGACTTCCTCTACAGTGATATTGGCTTTACATCAACAGTCTGGAACCTAACCTACCGTATTAGTAAGGAGTGCCTGTATAATTATACATAACATGTGTAAATTACCCACCAGGATAACCCAAAAAGTCAGTGACTTATTTCCGTTGGGGTTAGTTCGCAAGTTAACGTACTTTCAAAGAAAGGTGTTTATACAGTATGCTCTTGTATTGCTATTCTTTGTACAGGTGCTCCTTGACTAACTATGGGGTTGTGTTCCAATGAACCCGTCATAAGTCGAATGTGAATATGACATGATAAATAAATAAGTAAATAACAACAATCACTAAGTAAATACTAACCAAGTAATTACCGTAACTAAATTCAGTGGTACCCCGAGTTTCGAACTTTCTTTGCTCCAGAAGGCTGTTCGAGTGCCGTTACCAAATGAATTTGTTCCCATAAGGAATAATGTAAATTAGATTAATCCATTTCAGACCCCCAAAAATACACTTACTAAAACACTTACAATAATACACTTACGTAATTGGTCAAGTTGGGAGCTGTACGAAACTCAGGGTGCCACTGTACCAGTCTTGAAAAATCAGTGAATGAATACAAGTTAAGGACTTGCCGCCTTCATGCTGGGTAATTATCTCGACTTTCATCTCCGGAGTAACAGCTTTTGTATCGTCGTAAAGTTGAAATGTCATAAGTTGAACCATCGTAATTCGAGGATCACCCGTATTGTGATTTCTTTTTGCAGATACGATTGAAGAAGTGCGTCTAGAATTGAAAGACATGTATTATGAAAGCCTTTTTTACTTTTCAATCAATTTTAAATGCATTTGCTTGATTGCATTTATAAAAATTTGCTCTACATAGAGCTGTACGAGAGATCTGACTCTATATAATAAACTCTGGGTGAGGAAATAGTACACCTGTTTCTATATATGTATATACAGTGGACCCCCGCTTTACAATCAGCTCCCAATGCGACCAATTATGTAAGTGTATTTATGTAAGTGCGTTTGTATGTGTGTGTTTGGGGGTCTGAAATGGACTAATCTAATTCACAATATTCCTTATGGGAACAAATTCGGTCAGTACTGGCACCTGAACATATTTCTGGAATGAAATAATATCGTAAACCGGGGGTCCACTGTATATATATCTATCCTTTGTTTCCATAATAATTTTCAAAATGACAAGCCATTGATTTAAAAAAAAAAAATAAGATTCCTCCTGTTTTCACAGGAAGGAAGAAGGCGTTTGGAGAGGGAGCACAGACCTCGGAAAAGACCACTTCTAGATCCGGGGAAGACTCGAGGTCCCATCAGGAGGACCCCACTACTTCCCGCGGACATGCTGGCGATGGTCTCCTGACCAAAATTAAGCGGGCAATATTTGGGTAGGGTGTGTATCGTTCACTTAAGTGCTGGTGGACGTTTTGTGGTGTAGGGATTTGTGTAAGTGGACCAGTATACCTGGAGTATACTTAGAGGGGGTTTTGGGGGTCAGGGCCCAGTCTGTGACCATTCCTCTATTAGTTGCTGCTCACAGATTTGCACTGGTGACTGTAATGAAGATACAGACAGAGATACAGACACAGATACACATGCAGGTGCTCTTCGACTTACGATGGTTGGACTTACAATGGTTGGACTTGCAATGGTTGGACTTGCAATGGTTGGACTTACGATGGTTGGACTTACGATATTTCAATTTACAATGATACAAAAGCATTTACTTTGGAGATGAAATTTAAGATAATTACCCAGCATGAAGGTGGCAAGTCACTAACTAGTATTCATATATTTACTTTTCAATACTGGTATTTAGTTACACTATTTGTTATTTACTTATTCGGTGAGAGTAGTTATTTACTTATTTAGCATATCATATTCATATTCGACTTACGATGGCTTTGTTGCAACGTAACCCCATCATAAGTTGAGCGCTGTACAGGAGGGCCCCATTTTGCAGCACTTTGCTTTGCAACATTTCACTAATGCAACAGCTTGCAGTTATAATCATTCTTCATTTACTCGGACTTCCTACAATAAATATATTCACCGCTTACTATACGCAAAAGATGAAAATATTGTAAGGCAAGTAATGTGTGTACTGTATATGCATTTTTAGGCCTAGCTCTATTGCTCACTTAAGATATGATAGTGTAAATATGTTAGCAGGCTTTTGTGTGCATTTATAAGTGGAAAAAAAAAAAGGTGTTTCATTTTACAGAAGTAACCCAGAGTCTAACCTGCTGTATAAGTGGGGTCCTCCTGTACAGCAGTAACCCAGAGTTTAACCTGCTGTATAAGTGGGGTCCTCCTGTACAGCAGTAACCCAGAGTCTAACCTGCTGTATAAGTGGGGTCCTCCTGTACAGCAGTAACCCAGAGTCTAACCTGCTGTATAAGTGGGGTCCTCCTGTACAGCAGTAATCCAGAGTCTAACCTGCTGTATAAGTGAGGTCCTCCTGTACAGCAGTAACCCAGAGTCTAACCTGCTGTATAAGTGGGGTCCTCCTGTACAGCAGTAACCCAGAGTCTAACCTGCTGTATAAGTGAGGTCCTCCTGTACAGCAGTAACCCAGAGTCTAACCTGCTGTATAAGTGAGGTCCTCCTGTACAGCAGTAACCCAGAGTCTAACCTGCTGTATAAGTGGGGTCCTCCTGTACAGCAGTAACCCAGAGTTTAACCTGCTGTATAAGTGGGGTCCTCCTGTACAGCAGTAACCCAGAGTTTAACCTGCTGTATAAGTAGGGTCCTCCTGTACAGCAGTAACCCAGAACCTAACCTGCTTTATAATAGGGTCCTCCTGTACAGCAGCAACCCAGAACCTAACCTGCTGTATAAGTGGGGTCCTCCTGTACAGCAGTAACCCAGAACCTAACCTGCTGTATAATAGGGTCCTCCTGTACAGCAGTAACCCAGAACCTAACCTGCTGTATAAGTGGGGTCCTCCTGTACAGCAGTAACCCAGAACCTAACCTGATGTATAATAGGGTCCTCCTGTACAGCAGCAACCCAGAACCTAACCTGCTGTATAAGTGGGGTCCTCCTGTACAGCAGTAACCCAGAACCTAACCTGCTGTATAATAGGGTCCTCCTGTACAGCAGTAACCCAGAACCTAACCTGCTGTATAAGTGGGGTCCTCCTGTACAGCAGTAACCCAGAACCTAACCTGCTGTATAAGTGGGGTCCTCCTGTACAGCAGTAACCCAGAGTTTAACCTGCTGTATAAGTGGGGTCCTCCTGTACAGCAGTAACCCAGAACCTAACCTGCTGTATAAGTGGGACCCTCCTGTACATGTAGCAGTAGCTCAGAACCTAACCTGCTGTATAAGCAGTGCCCCCCTGTATTTGGCTGTGAATGCAGAAAGCCCATAGCTATGCAAAGCATTCCAGGCAAACTTTAAACAGACACCACACCAGACACCCCTGTATCCACACCCCTCTGGCTAGACAGTGACAGAGTGAGTGATGGTGGAAATGTTTATTCTTTTTCGGGTCACCCTGCCGTTGTGGGAGACGGCCAGTGTGTTTAAAAAACAGTATGTTACATAGCGTGTTAATTGCTCTCTGCCATTTTTCATTCCATGGCATTTATCTATGTTGCAACCCAGTTTACTCTGTCAGTCTTTTGTAGAGATTTACAATAATTTTTGTTAAATATTTATTGTTAGGTTGTTGTTTACAGTCATTGTTACATGTTTATAGTTATGGTTACATGTTTACAGTCATGGTTGCCTGTTTACAGTCATGGTTACATTTTGTTATATATTTCCATCTTTACATAGTTGCATTACTGAGATAGAATACAATTGTTAGAGATTGCCAGGTTCAATATTTTTGTCATTATCAAGTTTTGTTTATCAACTGATCAACTTCTTTACGCTTTCGAACAGGTAAACAAGTGGCACTGGAGCAGAGTGAAATTCTAAGACAGATCCGAACTATACTGAGCGGTAACATCGATGGCATAATTGCTCGGAAAGTTGCAGACGACGTGGAAGATGCCGCCGAGGACACAAAGAGAACGAAGACGGTGGATAAGGGCCAACAGGGGGAGAGGGTGTGAGCAGGGTGAAGCAGGGGTAGTGTGGGGGGGGGGAGCTTGAGGAAGGAGTGTCAGCCTGGTGGCAATCCACAATGAATCAGGTTGTTTAGATGCATCAGCTGTGTTGACCAGAAGTACAGTAATCCCCCCCGTATCTGCAGGGGATAATTTCTGAGACCTTCCGTGAATACTTGAAACTATGGATAATGGTGAACTAACTGTATACGTATATATATATATATATATATATATTTTTTTTTTTTTTTTTCAACAAGTCGGCCGTCTCCCACCGAGGCAGGGTGACCCAAAAAAAAAGAAAGAAAATCCCCAGAAAGAAAATACTTTCATCATCATTCAACACTTTCACCACACTCGCACATTATCACTGTTTTTGCAGAGGTGCTCAGAATACAACAGTTTAGAAGCATATACACATAAAGATACACAACATATCCCTCCAAACTGCCAATATCTCATATTATATATATATATATATATATATATATATATATATATATATATATATTTTTTTTTTTTTTTTTTTTTTTTTCAACAAGTCGGCCGTCTCCCACCGAGGCGGGGTGACCCAAAAAGAAAAAAAACCCCCAAAAAGAAAAACTTTCATCTCATTCAACCTTTCCCCACACTCGCACTTTCACTGTTTTTGCGAGGTGCTCAGAATACAACAGTCTGAAGCATAAAACATATAAAGATACACAAATTATCCTCCAAACTGCCAATACCCCAAACCCCCCTTTAAATTTGCAGGCATGTACTTCCTTTCCAGGACTCAAGTGACTATATGAAAATAACGGTTTCCTGAACCCCTTCACAAAATATTCCCCTGCTCACACTCCAACAGATCTTAGGTCCCAAGTACCATTCGTCTCCATTCACTCCTATCTAAACGCTCCCACGCTTGCTGGAAGTAAAAGCCCCTTCCCCCAAAAAACCCCCTTTCCCCCTTCCCCAAACCCTTTCGGGACGACCCTCCCCCGTTTCCCTTTCCCTATAGATTTATATGCTTTCCATGTCATTTAGTGATCCATTCTCTCTAAAGACCAAACCACTCAACAACCCTCTTTGCCCTTGACTAATCTTTTTTTTAAAACTCCACACCTTCTCTAATTTCCCACTGAATTTTCTGCAAAATATTTACACCAACATTCCCCTTTAAAAAGGACATCCCCCGCTCCCTCCAACCGTCTCCTCGCTGCTGCTTTTACCCCCCAAGTTACACCCTATAAGGTGTTGGTACTACTTATTTCATAATTTTCCCCTTTTTTGCCTCCTAGATAAGTTTTTTGATCCACATTACCCAACGCCCACTCCCTTTTTTCCCTCATCAATTCTTGATTAACCTCATCCTTATAATCCCTCCCCGACACGTCAACCCCAAGTTTGAAACATTCATTCTTCCAAAACCTCCCCCCATTTTTATATCCAAATTTTTTTTTATCTAAATCTTTTTGACACCCTCATCACCTTATCTTTTCTATGTTCACTTTCAACTTTCACCTTTACAACATTCCCAAAAAACATCCACTAACCCTTTTCAATTTTTCCCTTTTGAATTCCTTAAACACAGTATTCAGCAAAAAAAAAACTGTGTCAATTCCCCTTTTGAATTTTTCCCCATAATTTAAACCCCCCCCCTCTCCCAAACCCCTAGCATTTACTTCCTTTTCAACCCCATCAAAAAATATATTAACAACCATGGTACATTACAACCCGGCTAAGCCCTTTTACGGGAAAGTAGTCTCCCCTTTTAACACCCAAAATGAGCCTCCTTCTCATAAAAACTCTTTAAGCTTTTTTTAACTTCCACCTTTCCATTACTTGCAAATCTGCCACATTGTCCTCTATCCACTCTATCATATGCCTTTTCTAAATCCATAAATGCAATAAAAACTTCCCTATCTTTATCTAAATACTGTTCACATATATGCTTCAATGTAAACACCTGATCTACACATCCCCTACCCACTCTAAAACCTCCTTGCTCATCCGCAATCCTACATTCTGTCTTACCTCTAATTCTTTCAATTATAACCCTACCGTACACTTTTCCTGGTATACTCAGTAAGCTTATTCCTCTATAATTTTTACAGTCTCTTTTGTCCCCTTTCCCTTTATATAAAGGGACTATACATGCTCTCTGCCAATCCCTAGGTACCTTCCCCTCTTTCATACATTTATTAAACAAAAGTACCAACCACTCCAACACTATATCCCCCCCTGCTTTTAACATTTCTGTCATGATCCCATCAGTTCCAGCTGCTTTACCCCCTTTCATTTTACGTAATGCCTCACGTACCTCCCCCACACTTACATTCTGCTCTTCTTCACTCCTAAAAGATGGTATACCTCCCTGACCAGTGCATGAAATTACTGCCTCCCTTTCTTCCTTAACATTTAAAAGTTCCTCAAAATATTCTCGCCATCTACCCAATACCTCCATCTCCCCATCTACTAACTCCCCTACTCTGTTTTTAACTGACAAATCCATATTTTCCCTAGGCTTTCTTAACTTGTTTAACTCACTCCAAAATTTTTTCTTATTTTCATTAAAATTTCTTGACAGTGCCTCTCCCACTCTATCATCTGCTCTCCTTTTGCACTCTCTCACCACTCTCTTTACCTTTCTTTTACTCTCCATATACTCTGCTCTTCTTATAACACTTCTGCTTTGTAAAAACCTCTCATAAGCTACCTTTTTTTCTTTTATCACACCCTTTTACTTCATCATTCCACCAATCACTCCTCTTTCCTCCTGCCCCCACCCTCCTATAACCACAAACTTCTGCCCCACATTCTAATACTGCATTTTTAAAACTATTCCAACCCTCTTCAACCCCCCCACTACTCATCTTTGCACTAGCCCACCTTTCTGCCAATAGTCGCTTATATCTCACCCGAACTTCCTCCTCCCTTAGTTTATACACTTTCACTTCCCTCTTACTTGTTGTTGCCACCTTCCTCTTTTCCCATCTACCTCTTACTCTAACTGTAGCTACAACTAAATAATGATCCGATATATCAGTTGCCCCTCTATAAAACATGTACATCCTGGAGCCTACCCATCAACCTTTTATCCACCAATACATAATCTAATAAACTACTTTCATTACGTGCTACATCATACCTTGTATATTTATTTATCTTTTTTTTCATAAAATATGTATTACTTATTCCCAAATTTTCTTCTACACATGCTCAATTAAAAGGCCCCCCATTTCATTTCCCCCGGCCCCCCCCAAATTTACCTATACTCCCTCCATAACTTTTTTACCCATTTGTTTAAAATCCAAACCCCCCTACTCTACATTTGTTCAAAACTCCCCAGCATTCCCTCAACTTTTCCCCAAAATCCTTCTTCCTCTACATCTCTTTTCCAGTGTACCGTTATTATAACCCATTTTTCCATCCAATCTTTTTTTTCCCCACAAACCTTGAAAAATACATTTAAGTCCCCTTTTCCTGCATAGTTACCCTTTCAACATTATTGCTACCCTTCTTTAGTTTAAACTCTATTTGAAACCCTGACCTAACCCCATTTATTTCTCCACTGAAACTCTCCCCCCCTTCGCTTTGTTTCACTTAAAACCCAGGCATCCAGCTTCTTTCATCAAAACATCCACAACATCTCTTCTTATCATTGAAACATCCACGCACATTCAGACTTCCCACTTTGAAATTTTTCTTTTTATTCTTTTTATAATCTTTCAGGAAAAGGGGAAAAAGCCTTTTTTTCCCCCTTTTAAAATTGATTTTAAACAACACGCAGGGCTTACGGAGGAAAGATTTTATTCCACTTCCCATGGATTAAAGAAAATTAAAAACCAAAAACATAAGATAAAATCAAAGAAAACTCAGTGAGTGTGATAAAAAATGTGTACATGTAGTGTGTGTGACCTAAGTGAATAGAAAGGAGCAAACTGCCCGTAATCTTGCCAATTATAGACAGACAAAAGACACAGCATCCACCAAGTAAAACAATCACAGGCTTTGTTTTACCCCACTTGGGAGGGGCGGTAGTACCTCCCCGGGGGGTTGCGTTACCAACCTACTACTGGAAAATATATTTAAATTTTTAATATATATATTATATAGTAGGTAGTAGGTGGTAACACAACCCCCCAGGGGAAATACTACTCCGCCAAGCGTGAAACAAAAACCTTAATTGTTTTTTCATGATGGGAGGATTGCTGGTTTTTTTTCTGTCTCATAAACACGCAAGATAACCCGGTATTTTTACTCCTTAAAACCCTTTTGGCACACTTCACGACACGCACATGCATATATATATATACTACATCTAGGTTTTTCCCTTTTTCAAATAGCTCTTTTTTTTTTATTTCTTCTATTGTCTGGGGAAAAGGGGAAAAAAATCTTTCCTCCGTAAGCCGGTGTCGTAGGGGACTAAAATGCCCGGGGGCAAGGGGTATTAAACCCCTTCTCCTGTATACAATTACTAAAAAAGAGAAGAAGAAAAACTTTATAAAACTGGGTTGCTTAAATGTGCGTGGATGTAGTGCGGATGACAAGAAACAGATGATTGCTGATGTTATGAATGAAAAGAAGTTGGATGTCCTGGCCCTAAGCGAAACAAAGCTGAAGGGGGTAGGAGAGTTTCAGTGGGGGGAAATAAATGGGATTAAATCTGGAGTATCTGAGAGAGTTAGAGCAAAGGAAGGGGTAGCAGTAATGTTAAATGATCAGTTATGGAAGGAGAAAAGAGAATATGAATGTGTAAATTCAAGAATTATGTGGATTAAAGTAAAGGTTGGATGCGAGAAGTGGGTCATAATAAGCGTGTATGCACCTGGAGAAGAGAGGAATGCAGAGGAGAGAGAGAGATTTTGGGAGATGTTAAGTGAATGTATAGGAGCCTTTGAACCAAGTGAGAGAGTAATTGTGGTAGGGGACTTGAATGCTAAAGTAGGAGAAACTTTTAGAGAGGGTGTGGTAGGTAAGTTTGGGGTGCCAGGTGTAAATGATACGGGAGCCCTTTGATTGAACTTTGTATAGAAAGGGGTTTAGTTATAGGTAATACATATTTTAAGAAAAAGAGGATAAATAAGTATACAAGATATGATGTAGGGCGAAATGACAGTAGTTTGTTGGATTATGTATTGGTAGATAAAAGACTGTTGAGTAGACTTCAGGATGTACATGTTTATAGAGGGGCCACAGATATATCAGATCACTTTCTAGTTGTAGCTACACTGAGAGTAAAAGGTAGATGGGATACAGGAGAATAGAAGCATCAGGGAAGAGAGAGGTGAAGGTTTATAAACTAAAAGAGGAGGCAGTTAGGGTAAGATATAAACAGCTATTGGAGGATAGATGGGCTAATGAGAGCATAGGCAATGGGGTCGAAGAGTATGGGGTAGGTTTAAAAATGTAGTGTTAGAGTGTTCAGCAGAAGTTTGTGGTTACAGGAAAGTGGGTGCAGGAGGGAAGAGGAGCGATTGGTGGAATGATGATGTAAAGAGAGTAGTAAGGGAGAAAAAGTTAGC